CCAAAACCCCAAAACCCCAAAACCCCAGAACCCCAAAACCCCAAAACCCCAATGATTTTTGCTGTGGATTGGCAGAAATTAATAAATCATTTATAAAGATTAGGTAGCGAAGTAATAATTATTTCAATGGGTAACTCTTTTTCATTAAATATACTTTGTTGCCGAAAAAGACATCTCATCAAGGTTAAAATAGACACGTAATCTGAGAAAGATGAAGATTCAAATCTTATGTATAATTAGAATGATAATACCCTGACCATTGACAAAAGAAGTGAAGGCTTTTAAAACTAGAAACCAAAAGAGCGCATTTTGAAGAAATCATCAAAGTAAGATCATGATCACGCCATCTACAAATAAACAGAAATATCTTCAAAGATGATAGCGACCAAGTTCAGGTTGAAGATCCCTACCTTGATATGCAGAAAGAAAAACTCTGAGAACACAAAGCCTAATGTTGAAATTGAAGCAGAAAGAATAGAATATCTTCAAAAAGCCAGTAGAAATGAAATTAGGGCTTAGAAATATCAAGAAAAAAAGAAAAATCATTCTTAAACCCCATAAAATATGAAGAGCTCTTCACCTAAATAAACTCAAACTTAAAACCTGAATAGCTATAATAATCTTTCGGGAAAGAAGTAGCAGAGAAGAAATAAGAAGAACTCAATATCTGATTAGAAATTTGAAACACTAAATCTTGGGAAAATCTAAATCAAATAAGATGCTTTTCTCACTCAGGAGTCTCCTTCAAATAATTAGGAAAGTAAGCCAAAATTCATAATTTATTATTTCAAAGGATTTTTCGAAGAATCAATAAGCAGCGACTGCTTGCTGACGGAAGAAAGAAGTCCAGACAAGAGCCAAAATTCGAACAATAAATTGTCACCGCTGAGAATAGGAAGACTTCCAATGCATAATTTAAATACAACAGACATGGGAGATAAGAATTATTTCTTTAATCAGAGATCTTCTCCATAAGAAAACAATAGCTTTGCATTCGATAGTGTGAGCTAGTCATTGTGTACAGATTTGGAAGCTTGGAATCAAGTTAATGAGCATAGATTAATGAGTGTAGGAAGTAAATAGATGAATGATGAAAGCAAGTAAGGCTTAAGCAATAAATAGAAACAATAAGACTATAATCATCAATAGTATTGTGAAAAATTTTCATTGATTCATTCTAATTCATATGAGAATCTATTCAGTCCTGACAGCAATTTTGTTCTCACTGCAAGTCATGACTCTCATGAAAGTTAGTCAAGGCCTAAAGAAAGAGCAATTTCTGGTCCTTTAAGTGACTCCAATCAAAACTATATTTCAGATTTCATAAATTAATTGCAAGAAAAGAGATCATAAGCAGTAGAATTAATTGCCTAAATTAGGCAAAAAAAGATAAATTATTACGAGAAGAAGTTTTAAAGATTTTAATAAAAGTAAAAATAGTTACTCATTACAACTGCAAATGATCCTCTTTATCATCAACAAATTGTCACCACAGTGACTCAACAATTCTAACTTAAAAACACATTCTCAAGAGAGACAGTATAACTAAGGAAGATAGTTAATGTCCTAAACTAATATATCTCCTCACAATAAATATTGCTAGATTTCGATTCTAACTTAATTAGAGAGAACATACTTTCCACCTTGTAGCAACTTTCTTCTATTCTTAATAAAAATGTTAGCTTAAATTGTAAATCTAATTTATATAGGTAAGCAAATTATGTCTTTGCATCTTGGAGATAGATTTGGTAAACCTCCTTATAGAGTTGTGCTTTAAAGAGATAAAGTTGAAAAATGGTTTAAATAATAATGGCATCCCTTCTTATAAAAATTAAGTGGATATTCTGGTATAAGCAACTAATATTCTAAGTATTTTGACTTCATAACAGAAGTCAATTACTTTTTATTTGCAGAACAACTTTAAAGCTATGGTTTAAATAGTAGATCTGCTAGGAATTACTCTTAAGAACTTTTAAAATGTACCATACATCAATGAAAACTTGATAAAGCTCATCCTGATAATTACTTCTAGATCAATTTATGAAGAAAATACTCAGAAAATAAGCAATTACATATTGTGGTCAAATCTAGTTATCAAATTAAGTAACATTGTTAAATCTCAAAATCAGATATCTATCTAGCATAATTCCTTGATGGTCATTAAGATATTGAAGCTATTTAAAACTTTGCTTGTCAATCTTAAGTTAAGTGGAGTATACCAATCATTTTATTAGAACTTATTATAAGAAGTATTAGGATCTACAGAGTTGTTTGGGATTCTACATATATCAGATCTATTGATCAAGGATAACTCTAAAAGCAAATCATAATCAATCTCGACAATTGAAGAAATCATTCTAGATATATGCATATAGACATGCAGCTTAGACCACTCTTATTTTTCAGCTTTAATCTCACAGAGCTAAAGTTATAATAAACTATTAGACTAAGCTTATGTAGGTTTAGATAACTCTCTTTCTAAGATACTATTGTAATGCCTTATCTAATTAGACTCAGATTAAAGCTTTGAACGTATTGAAAAATTGAAATAATTTTAGTTCATCAGCAATGGAGATAACATAGATCCTAGGTTAATAACTGCATTCATGATGATTCAAAGTAAGACCTCAGATACTTTAGTTGAACTAATAAAATCTATTGATATGAAATCTTTCCTAACTGAATAACTTAGTTAATATGACGAATATGCTTTGATTTACTGTGAGTAAATTAATTAGAGATCTCCCAAGGCTATATTCATCAACATACTCGAAGAGTATAGAATTGGAACTGATACTGATGATCAAATCATCAATAAAATAGACATAGTTGATAATTTTAGAAGGTCTGAACCTTTTGATTACTATGAACTGAACCCTCCAATGTCTACTCGAAGTATTCGTTCCATAAGGTCATCAACAGCATCTCGATTATCCACTAATTCAGCTGTATCTATGATTTCTACTCCTAAAATATGTCTTAAGGACTTCCTTCCATTCAATGTGACCTAGGAGCTCTTAAACATCACCAGTAGCATTTCGTAGAGTAATCAAATAATCAATATTACTTAAGAAAAACAGAAAAAATTTACTTCTAAAAACACTAACTTGCATATATAATGAGCAAATTTGCATAATTGATTTGGTAGCTCTCCATTCATATCTATTGTCTGATAAGTTTCAAAATCATAAAACTCACTTAATCTTCAATTTAAGCGATGTAAGGAAACTAATTGATGTTGATGGTATGAATGATTTAAGCTAAAATTAAGTTAACTTAGTTTGGATTATTATCTATAATTTTAATTTTTAATTGCAATAAACTTATAATGGAAAATCAGTCTAAGGATTTAACTCCCAAAAGCTTATTGAATTCTAAAGGTTTTACTTCTGAAAAATCAGATTAATTAGTAAAGCAGCAAACTAATAAATCTATTTCACGTCCTCCCTCTGCTCCGAAAAATGAGGCAAAACCACCCTTGATAAGCTAAAGTCAACAGCCTTCTTGAAAAAATTCAGATTAATTGAGTTTATAAGAGAAAATCGTTCATCTTGAGAATAAGATAAAGTTCTATGAGAATGATCACTCTGGCTTTTAAAATTAATTACTACTCTAAAGATAGTAATATGAGCAAGAGATATCAAAGCTTAAAACAAAATTAGAATCCAAATCAGAGGTAAATTCATTAGCCAGAGAATATTCTGAGCAATTAATGCAAAATGCATACCTATAAAACATGCAAGAATAACTGACCAACCTCACTTAAATTAATTAAGGATTGCAATCAGAAAATCAAAAGCTTAATCAATAAATCAACACACTACAAGATGTTATCAAAATTAGTTAGGATGAAGTTGATAGCCAAAAGCATCAACCATCTGAATAAATTACTGCTTCGACAGTTAAAGTAAAAAAACCAAAGAATGAACTTATATTATTCACCTAAGAGTTGGTAACTGTTTAAAAGTAGGAATCTAATTAGCTCCTCAAAATTTAGAAGAAGATAGTGGAACTTGAACAATACTTGCAAGAGAAGGATAAAGTTATTCTTGAATAAGAGACATCCCTTTCAGAATTATAGGATTAAATACATGAAGCATTAAAGACTGAGGATAGTATGAGAACATAAATTAGAGACAAATAATCTAAAATTGATGACTTGACTAAACAACTGAGTTTCTTGAATCAAAGCTGGGAACTTAAGCTCGAAGATATTAATCATTAACTTTAGGCAAAATAGGTTAGCTTACAAGATGCATGGAATCTTACTAGCGAAAAGGAAATTGAAATATAAAGCTTTATGAGGTAATTGCGAGAAGCAGAGACAAGCCTTAAAGAATTCAGAGCCAGAAATGAACAGTTAGAGGAGGAAGGCATATAGTATCAATAGAAATATCAAGAAAATTTTGAAGAAATGGAATAAATAAAGCATGACTTTGAATCTATTCTAAATTTCAAGAATGAATTAGAAGCTCTTGTCGAAGAATAGACAATGAATATAGATTAGAAAAATAAGAAAATGCTCATGCTTGAAGAGACTTTAAGGTTTAAAGAAAGTGACTTAGAGAAAAAAGAAAGCCTTTTGAGAAGAATGAGTCAAGGAGCTGATGAAACAAAGAAAAAGCTAGCACAAGCAGAGATGAAGCTACGATAAATCACTTAAACTACAATGAGGGATTTGAAAACAAAATTAAAGGATAAATTGAATGAAATCGAAGTATTAAAAGAAATGGTAAAATCTGCTAATAAGCAAGCTAAAGCGAAGGATATTGATATCCAAAGACTAAATAAAAGGATATAAAGACTTGAAAAGATGAATGAACTAGGAAAGGGTATAATATAGGATGGAGCATAATTGCCAATCGATACATCAAATCCAATAATGGAGGATGAAAATGAGTTAGCTGAAACTGATACTTACATAACACCCCTTAAATAGCCACCTCTTCCACCATATTAAAAACGTGGTAGTGACTAACTTGGTCTCAACCCAATAAATTACACTAATTAAAGATCAGTAGAAGAGGAGGTCCAGATGGAGCTGCTGGCTGCTCAATAGCAAAGGTAATTTAATATCAAGCTAAGTGGTAATGGCAACTACAACTCTAAGAATCAGTTGAATTAGAGAAATTATAAATAAAAAGAAATAGAGGAGGCAATGGAATTAGACAGAATGTTAGAGTAGGAAAGAAGAAACTAGTCACATGATGTATTCCAAAAGAAGTATGAAGAGAAACTAGATCAGTATTATAACAATTTATCAAATGCTTAGCAATCAAACATGAAGAATCACTCTACTGGGATGAAAGGAATATTTGGAGGAAGCATTGGAGAAACCAATGAAACTCAAAGGCATAATGACTCAATGCGATACTATGATGGAATGCTTCCAAATCTCAATGTCTCTAAAAAAGAATGTAATTTAATTTGATTCATAATTTTTCGAAATAGAGTTAGAGAAAGAGCTGATGGCTGAAATAAATGATTCACTTAACAACAATAATAAAAAGGATAAGTCTTATATGACTCCAAATATTCAAGGAAAATCTAAAATTGTAAATAAACTAAATGCAGCAGCTTATGGTAGTGGAGTTAACAGTAATGGCCAAAGCAATGCTCCTTATTTCCACGAAAGGAATATAAACAATAGTAAGAATAGGATATAGCTATGAAAAATAAATACAAGATTTCATATCGTTTATTTTAATCTTTACAGTTTTCATACATATTTCTAGCATCAAGGGGTTTTGGGGTTTTGGGGTTTTGGGG